TATTGAGTGCGAAATTTATCGCGAAAAGAAAAAAAATCAAACGTAGTGGAATCAGAAAAACAAAACTGTAATCTGCTTCATAAAATAATCCTATGTTTAAATTAATAAACAATTCTCCTTTTATTTTATTTTTTTTGTTGATAAAAACAAGATTTTTAATTACAGCAGATGTGATTCCACACCAAGAAAAACTTGCAATTGATACCGCACTTCCAAAGAATGAGAATTTATTCAAAAGAAAAAGATTTTATTTTTATTAGTCGATGTCAAATAAATATATTTTTCTCTTTTCTTTTTCTGTTCACTGATATGCATGCAATGCATTTTCCCCTCCCCCCTCGTAAATCAAGCAGAAAACACAATCAGCATGCCACACCCTTGAGTTTGATTGACGGCCTAAAGGAAAAAATAAAGCATTCCTCCCTTCCCTGCCTTCAAGGTCACGGAGGAAATGACGTTTCTCTGTGTAAACGGTGAAAGAAATTTCCCCTTCCTTACATTTTCTTCTACTCAACTTCAAGGATGAGTCCAATTTCCGCTTTTTTCGTTTTAGCTTAAAATCGTTCTAGTTTAAAATGGCGGGAAAATCGAGCAAAATTTTTCCCGGTTTTCTGGTTTCCCGGTTATCTGGATACCGGATAAATGGTTCTCTACTGTAGAATGTGCAAACACTTGCAGCTACAAAATCAACAAATAGATTATTAAAAGAAGTTTATTCATGGATTTTATCATAGTTAGTAAGCAAAGAAATGAATTGTATATTTGCATATACAGTTGAAAATACCATAACCAGAATTGTCAGGACTTAGGACTTATTTATTCTTTTTTTTTCTAGTCAGGAAGATATATTTTTCTCAATAATAGGTTTTTAAGGTAAACCAAAACAAAACATGTATTATTTAATAAAAAAAAAGATAATTTTGTGAGAATTAGAGGTCAATTTTCATAAAATACATTTTATTAACAAAAGAATGTTTAGTGTGATAAAGTAAAAGTTTTGGATAAAATATTTAAGGGAAATAAAAAATTAAAAGGTCAGCAGATAAGTTTAACTTTCACTTTCTTGACTAAATACATGTTTTTATCCTTTTTTCTTCCTTTTTTCATTTCTTTTTTTTGTGATTTGATTTATTTTAGTGAAAAATTAGTTTATTTAAAATTGAAATAAAAATCATATTAAAAAGAGGAAGTTTCAGATAAGAAAAATAAATCTTATCTCGTAAAAAAGTATTAAATAAGGAACAGATTTGAGTTGATTTTTTATGAATCAAGTTTATAGTTTAATCCAAAACAAATCCTGTTCGATGGTGTTACACTATTAGAGCATTTTTAAAAAGTGCTTAAAGGTGCTTATTTTTTAATTTTGTTTTTAAAAGCCTTTAAAGGTGCTTTTTTCATTGAGTGTTTTTAAAGAGTGCTTAGTTTTCTCTTTTTCAAAATGTGATATTTTTTCTTTACTGTGTCAATTTTTGCTAAGAGTTATGAAAAACTGGGGTTTTCCCATTGTTCCATTCATTGTTTTCATAATTTATTCCAGCACGTGATCCATTTTGATGCACCGTCGGCTTGTAGCTTATGAAAGAGCCAATAATTTTAAATGTTTGGTTTCATCATGAGCTGGATGAAGTACTTAAAGGTTCGCATGTGCGTATACTGAGTTGGATTCGGTAGAAGGATTCTTACGCTCGCATGTGCAATTCTGCTGCATTTTGCATGAGATTCTCAATTTCAGGCTTCATTTTCTGCCCTTTGAAATGGAACAGATAAAGTATCTCGAATTTTTGCTGATCATGGTGACCAACTAAACATTGACAAAATTTTTCCTAATAGCAAAAGAAAATTCTATCCACTTTGTTAATTTCATCTTTGGTGAAGTGTCATCATCTTCGTCACAGGCGAGCCAATGGCCTTCTCTGGTTTTTCTAATCATAGACCAGTACCATAATTCTTGGACTTGACACTTAGAAATCATTCACTATAAGTATTTTCATGTGTGTTCAGAATAGTCCACTATCACAAAGCTTCATCACCTCAAAATTTCCATCTTCTTGTTATTAATTTAATTTAATAAAGATAATAATTAAATGAGATGTTTAATCGTAGGATTTTTACCTGAGGGAATGTACATTAATTAAATAATTTTTTAAAATTTTTTTTTTACTTATTACAGTACAGAACCCGTTATCCGGAAATCAGAAAACCGGAAAACCAAAAAACCGGAACGAAATTCGATAAATTTTCCCGCCATTTCTTAAAAAAAAATTTTGTTTTCCTCATAAGATTTTAGGATTTTTCTTTCTTTTTTGAAAGATACCATCATTTTGGAAATAATCATTAGTGTATTACTCCATCGTTTTTTCTTCTTTTTAAGATTATTTCCAAAAAAAAAAATTTTTTTTAGTTGGGTTTAACAATAAAAAATACGCCTTTTTGTAGCGATTCAGAAAACCGGAAAAATCAGTTATCCGGAATAGTGATGGTCCCGATCGTTCCGGATAATCGGTTCCCTACTGTACTTACTTTTTATTCTTTTTATTATTGTATTATTACCATACCCTCCAACTTATGAGGATTTTGAAAATAATTCTTTCTAGTGGTAGCGAACCAAAGTAGAAATTTTTAAAGCAAATGGATCTCTCATAAAACTTTTATCAGAACTTAAGAATCTAGCCATATGGCCTGCACTTTTATAAGTAATAGTGGACAAGTTACGCTAAAATATTTTTTTTTTAAATATTAAGACATTAATTTTGCTACCGTCTGAAAAGAAGATTTCTGAAACTACGGAAATTCCGTAGCAGTTGGAGGGTATGTATTACTTTTAAGATTTTCTAAACTCTTAATTTTTTATTAAAAAACTAATAATATTTTGAGTCAAGATTTTAAAAAAAGTATGAAATAAGATTCTCGATTTGAAATGGAGCAAAAAAATCTTATGTTATTCAGTTTGTCATTCCAAAGAACTTTAATTCATCTTTTAATGATTTCATTTGAAAGTAATAAAAATAAAAAATTCAATAATCTTAGATTTGTTAATATGAATGTAGGGACCATATAAAAAATTAATTTCTCTCAAAATGTTTAGCTTCAATACTCGTTATTTATATTTCAAAATTATTGAAAGTTTTTTTAAAATTATTTCATTAACAAAGTACTCAACTTAGTAACAAGTTTTAATAAACATTTAATGAGGGCTATTCACTAATTTACATTAGTTATATAAATTTATTAAAATTTCATTAGTTTGCTTAACTCTTTGCATATTAAATTCAGTATGCTGGTATGATCAACAATATTAATATTGTTATTGTTTTGTTGCATATGCTTTTATAAATGACTTTTATTTAAATCACTCAATAACTTTTTATTATTAATTTAAAAAATAGAATGAGTCATTCAATATTGAATATATTTAAAATGGAGTAGAAATCGTTTTTATAAGGGCTAATATAATCAAGAATAGAGTTTTTTGTGAAAATAATTATTTTGTCATGATCATGTAAAGTTTTTAGTAATTATTTTGCACTTTGTTAAGTTTATATACACACATATGTATATATATTTAAGCCAATCCAAGGTAGCAAACAAATCAAACGCACTTTAGTGCTGCAGTAAGAATGCAGCATAAAAAATCCCTCTATTTACGATTCTTACTCTTTGTGCTTCTGTTTTCTTTTAAATCATTCTTGAAAGATACCGGCATGTGTAAGTTCGTATGAATTTGCTATTCGCTTTATAGATTTTGTTTTGTGTTTTGTTCTGTATTTTCTGTTTTTTGCTTGATATGCTTATTTCATTTATATCTTTTATTTAATGTGTTCTATTTTCATTTAAATTTTTTTGAGTGCTTTTCATGCTATTGTATTGATATATTTTGCTTTGGCTTTATTGTTACAATGTTAGAAAGCACTCTTTTTTTTGGATTTAATAGTGTAAGCTGATGAAGAGATTATATTTTTCCATTATTTTATTTTCCAACTTTATAATTTTTTTAGTAAATGTTTACTTTTTTTAAAAATATTTTATTATTTTTCATTAATCTTTATTATTTTCCATGTTTTTTCTATATTTTTAGCTAATATTGTATTAATATAGCCAAAGCAATATTGATTGCTAAGCAATTTTGCTTTGGCTATACTAATACAATATTAAAAAGCACTTTTTTTGGATATATTATATTTTTGCCTTTTTTTTTTTTTAATTTTTGAATATTTCAAACTATTTTTTTCTTTTCTTTTAAAAAAATCGTTAAATTTTCTCATACTTTCAGTATTTTTTAAAACTTATTTTATGAGTTATATTTACTTTCGGCTTATGCGCAGTAAATAGCACTTATTTTTCTTAAACAATAGGAAGAAGAAATTTTTATTAGTGCACATATCCTAATTATGATTTTTTTTTATAAAAAAGTGCTTAAGTGCTTTAAAATAGTTTTTGAGTGCTCAAAAGGTGCTTATTTTTTGTTAAAAATTTGGCTACTCACCCTTAATATTCAACTTTATTAATATTTGTAGTTAATTCCTCTCACTGAAGCTTGTTTTTCTTTAACTGCTTACCTTTTTAACAACCCTTTAGGGTGTGCTCATTAAAGCAGTATAAATGTTTAGCTATTCTAAATGCAGCAAGAGGAAATATTTTTTTTCTTAAACATTTAGTTTTGTAAAGGTCAGGAACAGTATAAAAAATATATTTTTATGCGACAGTACCAGAAAACGGACATCTGGATGTGGGACTTAGTGTTCTATAAATACAGTTAAATTTCCAAACAAGGGTCACATACAAGATTGTTAGTGTTAAGAAGTGGCTGCTATTCAGAGTTATCAACAAATTGATTGTTCAAAAAATAAAGAAAAAAAACACAAACAGTAGATTGATTTATTTTACTAAAATAATGATACAAACAGTATTGTAGTGTAGCTAATTTTTACACACATTTCTGTTCTGTTTTGCTTTCAATTATTTTGTATTTAACTAGAAAGGAACATGAACTAAAAATTAAACTAGTTAATGTATTTGTGTTCCTTACTTTAAGAGTAGTAAATGACTGCTAAACATTCCATAAAATTAGTAACTGATTTTAATTTCCTACTCACTCATGATGAAGATCATTGCCAATTGATTTTTAAATCAGTGGAATATCACTTAAAACCGTTAAAAAAACTTTATGTAACTCCAGAAGGAAAATTATTTTGTAAATAATCATAATCATCATGATTACTATTGATTAGTATTAATAAAGCATAATAGCTTATAATTTGCTTGAAATCTTGTAAAATTCGAAAAAAGTTAAAAAAAAAAAATATCATGTTATTTATTTTTAAACATATAAGAATGTGTGTTACATAAACATTTTGAAGATGTCCATTATCTTAAACACACTTTTCAAACAACGTCCATTTTCTTGAACATGCATGCTGACTTAGGTCCAAAATAAAAAAAACTCACTGACCATAGATTATAGAAAATAAAATGTCTTTTAATCAATCAAAATTAAAATACAGGTTTGTGCCTGTTCTAGAAACCATTTATTTTATCTTTAACATAAAATTATTAATTTAAAGTATTATAAATTAGTATTATAAATTTTTACATCCATGTTTCTAAGTGTGAATTAAAGAAAATTAATAAAAAAAGTTTTATCAAATCAACAAACGAACATTTAAAATTACTGGATCATCTTTTTTTATCTAACTTATAATTATGTATAAACACATTCTTATAATTATTCATTTAAATTAATATAAAATAGTTTCTAGTTTCATAATTATTAGAAATCACTTAAGTTATTCAAATCAAGAAAACAATTTTTTTCTCTTTTCAATTTTACTGTAAAGATAGAAATATATTTTAAAAAAAGAAATTTTTTTTTAGAACTTATATGTCAATATTTTTGCTTTTATGTGCCTAAATTGCTGGTATTGTGCATATTTAGGTAAAATTTATGGTGACTTTTGTTTCTGACGCTTAGGAATTGCAATTTGAAACTTTTCTTCATGTAGCACCTTTCTATATCTCAGAACTTTTCTTAGGATACGATTATTCATATGTTTTCCTGGTAATCAATTGTCTGCTAAAAATAGATTACTACTTAAAAAATAAACTTATTATTATGATGCATAGCATTGAAAATTTACTTTCTTTTAGGCTCATCTGTTTCAGATACAGCATTGTGTAATGAAGTGTGCTTTCAAAAAATTACTATTGAAATGTTTTATGAGCCTAGCAATTCATCATCATGCAGTCACATATCAAAATATGGCCAGTTAATGTATGCTTTAGTTTGCAAAGATGTTTTATCAAATATTGAAGATCATAAAAGTGAGGGTTTCTTTAATTTTGATGGTCATCGTGTTCATAAAAGGAAAAAACACCCAGGTTTGTTATTTATTTTACTAAACTTCATATTATAGATTTTTAGGAAAAATGAATCATTTAGTAATTACTTGATTGCTAGTATCCAAAACAAATTGAGTTTGTAAATAATAACTTTCATAGGATAAGTATAGATATTCTTTATGTTCTGTTGATGATAGAGAATATTATTTATTTTTGTTGTTGTTTTTCTTTGTTTGTTGACTTTGAAGTTTTTTACCAATTCATACTATAGCAAATTTAAATGAAGTTACAGAAAGTAGATATTTTACTTTCTGTTATATGAGTGAGATTTTTAAGCCCTAAATATATTTAAAAAAATCAGAGGGTTTGACCTAAACCCTGAATGTAAAATAGGTAATTTGTGCAGTGGTGCTATAGAGGGTAGAGTACTGGGTGGAGGCCCAGCTCAATAGGAAATTTCCTTCTAAATGGGATTTACCATCAGCTTACTGAATAGTTTGAAAAATCTCTAGGGGTTATTTTTTTAACATTCTGTAGCATTTTAGTAAGCATCTGTGGCAAAGTTTAAATCATAAGGAAATATATAAATGTATATATTTTTTAGTTATCATTAATTATGGGATGGGCGATTTCGTTTTTGTCCAAGCTTAAGATGTAAACGAAGGGTTATCATGCCGAAGCTTGTTTAGAGATATGTAAGTTTTTTTTATGTTCCTATTACTACCAACATAATAAATTTAATGTTATATTTTTTAAATTTGTATGGAAAAACATTACATACTAACAAGTTTATTTTGAAAAGATTGTGTTGTTTTCGATCAAGCTTTTATAACTACTTTAATTTGTTTTATACTATGATTTCATGATTATCAACACTAATTGCTACTGAAGTTGTTGCTCAAATGTTAGTTGTTTCCAATAATTAACATAATCGATCAAATTAGACTCAAACAAGCATGCAACCACTGACATTAAAAAAGTGTTGCTAATTTTATTTTATTTGAGTGCTTATAAATGAGAACTTAACAAGCCCATTGCTGATACTCCTGTATTTTCCTGATATTTGTGTTAAAGAAACCTGTGATTTAGATAGCTTGGGGATGGGGGTCAAAATCATCTACTTTGAAAATTTTCTTGGAATCTTAATCTACGCATGCTTATAACATTTGCAGAGATCCAATTGAAGAGGGGAATCACTGATGCTCTTTCCAACTTTCAGGCAAATTCAACCAAGTTTTGCTATAAATGTTTTCTCAAGCTTCCTTATCCTTCTAGGATAAGGAACAGAAACTCACTCTCAGCCCCCCTTCACCAAAACTTGCTACGGTTGAAGTTTTTACTCTAGCTGGTAGATAGAGTAAATCACTGCTAGACTTGCTAAGGAACAGCTGGCTTATGCAAACATTCATTCCCGACAACTGACAAACATAACATTCCCGACAACTGACCAATATAAGTTAAATCAAGTGCATAGGGCGTGGTAGAGAAGTATCCATTGTTTGCATAAAAGGCCATATACAGTAGAGCGCCGATTATCCGAACTGCTCGGGACCGAACGTGGTTCGGATGATGAAAAATTCGGATAATTGGAAAGTTGTTCAAAATCTAGTTTAAATGATTATTATTTATGCGCCAACTTCCCTTCACACTTTTTCCAGGCTTAGGACAGGCAGTACTATCTAAAATAGCTCTGGCATGTTTAAAAGTTTTTTTTCTTCTTTTTTTTAATTTTTAAATTTTTTTAAAAACTTTTTTTCGTTTTCAATTTTTTTGGGTCTTATTTCAGCTTTTTATAAATTTTTTGTCAATTACTGATTTTACTACATTTATCTTTATTTTCCATTGCCAAAGAAATCCAGCAAAGACTTGTTTCAAGGAAGATACTCTTTTTTGAGCAGCCATATCCCTTATTCTTTTTAAATAAATCAACTGAACTGGATCAACATCATTTTGACGTTCTAGCCAATTCATTGCAATATCTAATGCATTGCATGCTTCTATATGAGAAGGTCCACAATCTTGAACTTGGTCACCTACTTCTTCCTCTTCGTCGGTGGAGTTCCGATTTTCATTCAAAATTTCAGTAACAATTTCATCATTTAAAATTTGAAATCCTGGGTCATTTTCAGTGTCTTGACACCAGTCTTCGATTTCTTCTGCTGTATACCCTGACATCTTTTCATCCGGAAATTCTACTGGCTCAGGTTTGTTTTTCTGTTAAGAATCTTATTCCAAGATTTTCTAAGCGTCAATGTTTTTACTAAATTCCAGGCATCAGCTATCATCATGCAGCAATCTTTTAAATCAATAGCTTTGATTGAGTTTCGAAAATCCCCCTCATTTTGTTCATCCGAGAGTAAAATCTTCCTTAAAAGTTGCTTTCTATAAAGACGTTTTAAGGTTTCAATGACACTTTGATCCATCGGCTGAATCAAAGGTGTCACATTGGGTGGCAGGAAAACAACACGAAACATTCCATTCTCCCGATCTAAGAGATCTGGATTTGGATGCGACGGAGCATTGTCCAAACTGAGTAACACTTTTCCTGTTTTTCCCAAATTCTTTTGATATTTCTTCACATTTGGAATGAAAGTCTTATCATACCACTCAATAAAAATGCTGGTGTTCATCCA